AGATATTTTAATGAATCTACTCAGACATTCAATGACACATATCTTGGCGTGGTGGGACTTGATTCTGATAGGGTGAGATGAATTAAGTGAAAGAAGCAAAACAGAAATTCCGTGGCACAGTTGTAGTGTCCCTACCTCTGGACAAGAATATCAGGTTCAGGTCCCACCTGTGCCAAAGCTGTGTAATAACATCTCTGCGCAGGTTGATTAAGGAACAAAAACAAGAAACTCAGCAGGTCTGACAGCATCTGTGAAAAGAAAGCAGAGTTAACATTTCAAGTCTAGTGATCCTTCTTCAGTGAGAGAAGGTTCTTGTGGAGAATAAACACAGACAGACCAACTGGGCTGAATAAATGGCCTGTTTCTGTGTTCTAAAATTTAACATAAAACTTTACCAACTGCTTTACGATAATTATCACACAGGAAAATCGCACCTAACTTCACGGAATACCGAAGGTTATAGACCTTCTTGTAGCATGGTGGCCATTTCCCCAGACCATGGACACTGTACTGACCTGGGTGGCAACTTCAAACCAGGTTAATAGGATCTGGTGCTGTGATTTCCTCTAGTGGTCCAGTGTAGCTTTGCACTGACAGTGCTTGACATGGTGCCGAGAACCCTGGGAGTTCCCACAGTGTCAAGTACTTCCATTATTGGCATGAGGGAAGGGTGCCATACAGGCATGGTGCGTAGCTATTGAGGTGAGCTGTGGAGAAGCGTGGGAAAACATGCTACAGGTCACAGAGAGAAATCCTTCATGAAACAGCCCAAAATTGACATTTAGCCAATTTTTGGTAAAATTTAGCCATCTTTCATGTAATGCATTTAAATAGCTACCATTTCTAAACTGAAAACAAGTTACACCAGAAGTCATATGACTATAGCAAGCTAAAAGTGGGGATAAGAAAGCATTTCTCCAAGTATGAATGACTTGAAAATGTTGCTTTGAGTGGGACAAAATTATTAAGATAAAACAAAATATAAGTCCCTTTAGGTTTCCATATTCAGGGTGAGTATCTTTCACCCTGGAATAACAAGACCTAATATGGTTGTTTCACAACTGTGGGGAAGGAAGAGAAACTGGTGATAAGTCAACAAGTTCAGGAAATGAATCACCCAGTAATGAGTTGCCTGATGTTATGTGCAGCAAGTTCATGAATAGTGTGAGGTGATTCGTTTTGGAAGGACAAACTTGAAAGCAGAATACAGGGTTAACGGAAAGATTCTTGGCAGTATGGAGGAGCAGAGGGATCTTGGGGTTCATGTTCACAGTTCCCTGAGAGCTGCCACCCAGGTAGATAGAGTTGTTAAGAAGGCAGATGATGTGTTAGCTGTCATTAATAGAGGGATTGAGTTCAAGAGCTGTGAAGTTATGCTCCAGCTATACAAAAGCCTGGTTCGGCCACATCTGGAGTATTGTGTCCAGTTCTGGTCACCTCATTACAGGAAAGATGTGGAAGCATTAGAAAAGGTGCAGAGGAGATTTACCAGGATGTTGCCTGGAATGGAGGGAAGGTCTTATGAGGAAAGGGTGAGAGAGCTAGGGCTTTTCTCTTTAGAACGACGAAGAATGAGAGGTGACTTGATAGAGGTGTACAAAATGATCAGAGGTATAGATAGACTGCCAGAGACGTTTTCTGAGGGTGGAGGTAGCTTTTACGAGGGGACATAGTTTTAAAGTGAAAGGAGGTAGATATCGGGGAGACGTCAGAGGTAGGTTGTTTACTCAGAGAGTGGTAGGGGCGTGGAATGCATTGCCAGAGAGGGTAGTGGAGTCAGCCTCATTAGGGGCATTTAAGCGGCTATTAGATAGGCATATGGATGATAGTATAAGGTAGCGGTGGAGGTTAGATAGACCTTAGGTTTAAGGTAAAAGTTCGGCACAACATCATGGGCCGAAGGGCCTGTACTGTGCTGTACTGTTCTATGTTCTATGTTCGATGAATATAAGTCCCTTTTTATCTATACATGGAAAGGATAGAATTGGGAAAGAAACTTCAAATATTCACTCCATGAAATAAACTAAAGAAGGCAGATCCTGAAATTATCATGTGATATTTGGCATAACACAATGTCAACACAGTAATTGACACTGAGAAACTTTGACAAGAAAGCCTAACCAAAACTTGTGACCACAAATGAGGTAAAATTTGTGGTCAGGAAATACATGGTAAGACCTTTAATAACATATATGGTCGAATTGTTCAAGAAAAGACACAATACCATGTTCCCCAAAATGACTAAGAAAGGGTAAAAGCGAAATAATAAAGGTGTGTATAATTAAGTATAATACATATGTCTTTGCAATACATGTGATAAGTAGGCAGTCACTATAATTTTTTAAAACAGAGTCTCACAATTTCCAGTTACAAACATATGAATTAGGAGCAAGCCACTCAGCTCGTCAAGCCTGCTTTGCCATTTAATTAGCTCATTGCTGATCTGATTACTCCACATTCCCACCTACCCCGATAATCTATCACGCCTTGCTTATCAAGAAATTATCTACTTCTGCCTTAAAAAAATTCAAAATCTGCTTGCACTATCTTTTAAGGAAGGAAGTTCCAAAGTCTCATGACTCTCTGCGAGAAAACAAAAATTATCTTTATCTCTGCCTCAAATGGGTGCCCTCTCATTTTTAAACAGTGATTCTAGTTCTACACTCTCCTACAAGAGGAAATATCCTCTCCACATCCACTCTGTCAAGACCCCTCAGGATCTTATTTGTTTGAATCAAGTCACCTCTTATTGTTCTAAACTCCAGTAGATATAAGCCTAACCTGTTTAATGTTTCCTCATGTTTCCGATGTTTGGGGCCAAGTTAATGACATGAGACAGGCCATGTTTAGCAGCAGGACCAAAGTCGTGAAGCCTAATCCATAGAATAGAATCTATGCAGTGTGAAAACTGGCCATTCAGCCCACCAAGTCCACACCAACAAGCATCCCATCCAGTCTCACTCCCCTTACCTGTCCCAATCCTGTATCTTCCATGGCCAATCCACCTAACATGCACATCTCTGGACACTACAGGCAATTTAGCATGACCAATCCACCTAATCTGCACAACTTTGGACTGTGGGAGGAAACCAGAGCACCTGGAGGAAACTTATACAGACACAGGGAGAATGCGCAAACTCCATATAGACAGTTGCATGAGGGTGGAATCGAACCCAGGTCCCTGGTGCTGTGAGGCATCAGTGCTAACCATTGAGCCACTGTGCCACCTTGATGTATAAAAGCCAGCCAAATTCGAGTCTGGCATTTCCCAAGCTCTTCAGAGCTTAGAAATGAATTCTGACTGAGAGCTGAATATTACAGCTGCTAAGGAAATTGAAGTTGCCAGTGGTAGAAAAGCAATCATTACCTTTGTGCCAGTACCCAAACTGAAGTCTTTTCAGAGGATCCAAATGCAAGTTGTGTGAGAGCTTGAAAAAAAAAGATTTTGTGGTCAACACGTTGTCATCACTGCACAGAGGAGAAGTTTACCAAAACCTAAGCAGGAAAAGTAAAAACAAGAACAAACGGAAACATCCGAGAAGCTGTTCATTGACCGCAGTGCGTGATGCCATTCTTGACGATTTGGTTTGCTCCAGTTAATTGTGGGTAAGAGAATCCATGTGAAACTGGATGGTACAAAAGCTCATCAAAGTACATTTGGACAAGGCACAATAGAACAATGTAGAATACAAAGAAATGATACATTTTCAGCTGGCTACAAGAAACCAACTAGCAAGGATATTGTATAAGAATTCCCAGATTTCCAATGGTAAATTGTAAAGAATGGCTTAAATTTTAAAAAGTTGATACTGAAAAATAGACATGCAAGATTGTGCTGTTGACTAAGCATAAAACTCAACAATTCAGTGCTTTTGTTTTCCTTTTCACATGTTTATCATTATCTTTTCTAGCATAACCAGAATATCAGTGAAAATATAAATAAAACTCAAGCTTCCACACTCGACCACAACATAGCTTAGAAATAAATTTCAGTTGTGGGAATTCCCAAGCTGATAAGCTAAACTTCTCTAAAGAGAAATGAAAGCAATGAATGAGAAATGAGCTTTGATTGGATCAGAAATGAAGAGTTGCTGTAGCTAAATTTCTTTAAATTATGGTCCCCAGTGCAAGCTTAACAAATGTCAGGTTTTTAATACATTGAGAAATGAAATCCTCCGTACATGAGGCGCTGTTAGATGCAGTAAGTTGATAAACAACAGGCTTTCAATTTCACTTCAGTCAAGGCATGCAGAAAATATTTGCCTAGTGTGCTGGGAAACGGAGCTGCAGATTCACAGCCAAGATTTCCCCACAAAATGTGTTCAGAGTTCAGGTAGGATTAGGTATGGATTACAGTTCAGGAACGTTTTTACTGAAGGAACTTCTAATGGTGTCACACTGTGGGATAGATTCCCATTAAATGTTAGTGATTATATTTTAACAATGAAGAGATTGTGGGAAAAAGAAAGCAATGAACATGTAAGAGATATAAATTAGAGCAAATTAAATAGCAGCAAAACTGGAAGAACTCTGTCTCAGTCTTAAAACAAGTGGATGCTTATGTTCTTCTATACAATAAAATGATTTAATGTGAATAGTTCTGATCCCTATTCAGATAGCTCTTTTGTGATGTGCAGCTTGGCAAAGGACAGCTGTTTCTGTAAGAATGATGCAGTGTAAACTGTACTCTTGTAGTACCTTCTCAAGACTGACTGTCAATAGGACACTTGATTAAAATTGCAGTGAAGAAACATGATATACTGGTTTCTAATTCTCACCATGTCACCCTCAGCTAGATTAGAATATAGACCAGATATTAAGCATAAAAAGCTCCTATTACATAGAAACAACTTTATTTTATAAATTTTCCCTTTTGCTTTGTGATACACTTATGTTATTGCTATTTCAGATTGTATATGATTTTTATACTGCCATTGTTAATACTCATTTCTATCTTATTTGGATTGATGGCCTGAGGGATGCATTTAATCTGGTGGAAATCAGTGTGCCCAATCCGACAAATTGGAAACTTCCTGAAGCCAGAGATATTCCTCCTGCAAACAAGAAAACAAGGAAACACTATTGTCATTATGGCAGGAACCAATACACCTTCTACAATTACCAGAAAACATTTCATATTTTGATTCCCTGATGATGACACAGAAATAGCAGTTGGTGCCAGATCAGTTGTTAGTTTTAAATCTGAGATAGATACATTTTTGTTAAGCACAGGTGTTATGGGATATGGACCAAAGGTAGGTATATGAAATTAGGTCACAAATCAGTCAGGATCTCATTAAATTTCAGATAAGGCTGGAGGAGCTGAATGGCCGGCTTCTGTTCCTATGTTTCAATGTGGAATAAAGTTATCTTATGCTCATTCTATTAATTTTCAAACGACATCTCACCAATAGAATAATTCTTACTATTATTTTATGATTATTTTAGTGAACGTGTTACTTGGTGGTAGAAAGCATTTGGATTCAGATAACTTAATAAGGTAACTAGTGCCTAAATGGGTATTGTGATCTTTGCTGGACAATCAGAGTAATTATTCTATACAGAAAAACCGTGCAAGCTTTGCCAATTAAATTCCAACAGCAGTCTCTCAGTCATGCGGTCTCTAAATCTTGGCTCACATCTTTCTTTTATTTCTTTCCTTTCTCCACTCATACTGACACTGGGCTTATCTTGTACATGAAACCCAATTCTATTCCCTTGATCATATTGTCAATAAATTGCTGTTCACCCAACTTCCCCTTCTGTTCCATTGTAAGTAATATTATAAATGGTTCTCACACTTCAGCTGTGGTTCCTCTATCCTTAAACCAATGTCATTACCCATCCCCTTGAAAAATTCCTCAACCCCATCATCTTTGAAAACTATCATCCCATCTCTAACCCCCTCTTTCGTCTCCAAAGTTATTGAATATATTGTCACCTCCCAAATCTGTTCCATTGCTGAGGAATGCAGGATTATTGTGGTAGTGATTTACCTCTGGGCCAGGAGTCCCAAATTCAGTCCCATCTGTTCCAGAGATGGGAAATCTCTAAGGAACTCCTGCAACTATGTCCTGGGACTGAGACAATTGATCTTGTACTAGGTATGATTCCAATCAGCGGAGAGTATGGCCCCATTGCTAGGGTTCCTTGAAGTCATTTTTAGTCAATTGTTGCCTGATGTCAACGACAGTCACTCTCATCTCGCCTCAAGTTTAGCTCTTTAGTCCATGTTTGGATCAAGACTGCAATGACGACAACAGGTGAGTTGCCATTGTGAAATCCAAACTGAGTACCATTGAACAGGTTATTGCTGAGCAAGTGCTGCTTGATAGCACTGTCAACAACATCTTCCACCATTTTGCTGATGATCGAGAGTACACTGATAGGGTGGTACGTGGCGAGGTTGGATTTGCTAAGTAGATACCAGGGCTATGTTGTACTAGAATAGCTTGACTAGGGACATGGCTAATTCTGGAGCGCAAGTTTTCAGTGCGATTGCTGGAATATGTCTGGGCCTTTGCAATTTCCAGTGCCTTCAGCCATTTCTTGAAATCATGTGGAGGAATCAAAATGGCTGAAGAACTGTACTTGTGATGCTGGGACCTCAGGAGGAGGCCAAGGTGGAGTTTCAATCTTTAAGGCATTACTTAAAACTGACCACTTTGAGAAAGCTTTTGGTCATCTGACCTAATATCTCAATGTCACACTCTGATTTTTACATGAAGTGCCTTGGGATGTTTTTATGTAAAAGGCATTACATAAATATGTTGCTGTTGTTGGCAACCTTGTGCCTAGCATTAGTGGTTACGTATTTATTGATTTTTTATATCACAAGGTGCACAACAACAATGCAGCCATTTGTTGTCTATCCCTAGCTGCCTCAAGAAAACATTAGATCTTCATAACAACTATTGTTACAATTAGTCATTTTAGAGGTCAGTGAGACATCATGAGTACCTTACATGTATAGTACACAAAGTTGGAATGCAGAACGTTAATGAACCAACTTTGCTCAAATTATTAGATTTATCTGATTAAATTTCATGACATACTGTGATGGATTTTGAACTCAACCTTTGGGTTCCAAGTCTTATAGCATAAATATAGTGATGGGTTTCCACATTTACCAAGTGCTTGCTTGAGCAAAAGATATGAATTTCCACGAAAATAAACTAGGATCCAAATGCTGGGCACAATCATGTACCTTATCATCAGTTGTTTTTCCACCGATTGTCTGCTCAGTGCTCATTGTACTGCATTGTACACCAAAGGAGTCAGTCATCTCAGATGTTAATCCTGTTGAGAATGGCGCTGAGACCTGCATATCTGTTTTCAGCAAAGAGACATGGCTAGTGTTAAGATTTTCCAGCCTTGGGCATTTGTATGCTTCTTCCCCTGTGTTTTTGAAAGGACTGCTATGGAAATTTGCATTGAGCTTCATTCCAGATGCTTCCAGCTGTCTTTTCTTTGCACCTATTTTTTGTTCAATGCTGTCAGAACCAGAGTCAGTTTCTACTGTCAATTTTGGAGATTCAACATTCCAATGTAGACTGTCCAAACCTGACAGTGTGAATGATAGGTCTGGAAAAAAACAATATTGTATATAATAAAAATAATTTGCATTCTAGTAACGTTTTCTCAAGTCTTCCACTAAACATTGAAAAGGGTATCAGTTAAAATCCTTATTTTATACTTATCTTTGTAATCTTCTGAGTTTAAAATTACTGAAATGTTAGAAAACAAATCTCTAGAATTTAATTATTTTCCTAATCTCCACTGTTCATTCCTGCACTTCTGTTTGTAGGAGTGATCTGATTCTGATATTCCACACAGTATGGTGGATTTTATGGCTCTTGTTTGATGCAAATGAAATGGTCATGAAGTCATGGCCTAAAAATGATGTTGCACCACTTGCCATCCTGTTTACACTAGCACTTTATTTATGTGGAAATCAGGTAGTGAAGTTTTGGTTGAGCCTACATTTGTGGTAGGCAAATGACAGCCAGGTGGCAAGGAAGCATTGGAATAGTTAAGAACAGTGGCAAGAAAAATATGGTTCAGGGTTTCAGCAAAAGATGAGCAGAAGCAGGGATGGAGCGAGGTCATATTACAGAGAGGGGAGAAAGTGGTCTTGGTGATGCACTTGATATGGCATTAGAAAAGCAATTCAACTCAGAGTCAAATAAGGCACAAAATCTTTGAATTTTGCCAGAGACAGTGGCCAGAGAGTGGGAAATATTGTTGTCTGGAAGATTGAATTCCTGGTGGAGGCCAAAGGCATGGTTAATTGAAGGATATTTTGATTCACTCAACACTGGATATCTGACAATAAGAAGGCAGTGGAGTGATCAGAAGGCTGGATGTCACCAGGGTACAGTCAGAGCTTGACAAGTTTTCAGGCGATTTTATTAAAAGGCATGTAAATAAGAGCTGGAATGACGTCAAATATATAAGCTTAGGGGACTTCAGAGATACTGGTGTATGGGCAGAAACCAGGAGCCACTGAAGAAGAGGTGGGGAACAGGGCACAGAAAAAGGAACTGCAAGCTTTCAATATTATATAAAATGTATTTGGGCAATGTATTGATAAGCCATATAGTTAAGTTCATACATAACAGCAATATGACCTCGGCTCACTCAAAGATACAGAGATGCAGAGATTCAAAAAGTTTAAGGCAGTAGTGAAATCTAAAATAGAGAGACGAGGACTATAGTATTCAGAAGCAAAGGTCATTGGCACACAATGGATCAAGTATTTTGTTCTAAATGAGCCTATACCTGATTCAGAACCATCGAGCTCAGTATGGATTTTCTGAGATTTGTCTGCGCCATACAGACTGTCTTGGCTGGTCTCTGGTGCAATTGAATCAGTGTTAGATAGCACCCGATCACCATCTCCTGAGTGAATCTTAAGCCAAAAAAAATCAATGTTAATCCTACACAGCTAAATTCATTTGGAATCAATCACAATATCAACCTTAATGGCCCAGCATAATGAGCATCCCAGACACTTTTTATTGAATGATGTAAGTGTGAAGATTGAATAAAATTTTGAGATAATGTTATAGAAGCTGTTGGCTTTCTCAGGATCATGCAGTTTTTCATTCTGTTTACCCCTATAATACACAAATTATTAAAGAATATCACTTTGGAGTAGTACAAACAAATCATAGTATGATCATGAAATATCCAGGAAGCCAATCAACAAATTGAGTTTTCTGAATCACTTAGACAGAATCAATTCTCAAGTTATGTAAGAACATACTCGCTTCGTGTCACAGACTCTGCTCAGGAGAAATCTATTCTGCATGATATTCTGTAGAGTATTCCGAAGCGATGTCTTAATTTCTTGGGTGTTTGAGACCTAGAAAGTCAATAATAAACATCTTTTAAATTAAGTTACATCTGTAATCATTTAGGTTTTTAAGTAATGAAAACGAATGATGGAAACAAGTAGTGCAGTGGAGTAGCATGCTAGAACTGCAATTGTTGCAGTACCTCAATGGTAACGCAACACAATTGACAGAATATTAAGTAATAGATTTGAAACAGCTCATTTGGCCCATCAGGATTATGCCAAAATTGTTTTTTTTAACCTAGTACTGTAAAGAAGCACCTTATCTTGCCAAACCATGAGACACAATGCTTTGAAGAAACTGTTATGATGCTTTGCGCTTTCATAGTTGGTATGGTGCAGTTTGTGTTGGTCTCAGTACCACCTTTGCTGCTTAAAGTTATGCATGTTATTTCCTAATCATAGTGCACCCCATGCTTACCTTCAGGAGCTGTAGTGACTTGGCTCTAAAATCACGATTCGTACTGCTTGACAATACACTGTGAATGGCATCACAGATGACAGTGGCTGCAGTCTGCATTTTCCTCTGATTCTACAGAGAAAAAAAGTTAAATAGCCACGAGTTCACAGCAATTACAAAGTGTTCCTGTTCTCAAATTTGAAAAATCAAATAGAATGTTTAACATGCAAGGAACTGTTTCAAAGGAGTGCTATTTTTTGGGATCATAGGGATATAAAAGAAAGGTTATAGATGGTGCTGATTCGTAACTTAGCTGATGACATCATCCACATGGTGTATCTAGAATCATTACTAGGCCAGATCAGACAGAAGGTCATAGATTTTCTTGAGGACATTAGTGAATTAGTTGGGTTTTTATAACAATCCAGCAGCTTTCACAAAGGTATTTTTCTAATATTAGCCCTTGAACAACCAGATTTATTCAATTAATGTTAAAGAGGGTCATATACATATCCAGAGTGGATCAGGCATTTTTAACAAATTCTTCTCTCTTCTCCAAAAAATCATACCAATGATGTGGCCATTATTCACGTGACAACCTAGACAGTCAATGTTGAAAGGCTAGTTAATCTGAAACAACTCCCAGGAGGCTGGAATCCAGTTTGTAGTTCATTTTCTCCATTTTAAGTCCATCTTTTCAAAGCTTCCTTGACACCTTCTCAGGTGTAACATTCCGGATCTCTCACTCAAGACAGCAGCTGAACTTACATTCACAGTCATTTTGGTTATTTCAGTATTTGCTTAAGAAAACACATAAGGTAATTAAAATTTACCATGTCCCTAGATGATCCAGGATTATGATCCATGGTCAAGACACTCTGTGATGTGATATTGACAGAAAACATTACAAGGAAATACCAGATGAAATCTAAAATCTGTATTTATTATAAAGCATCAGGTTAATATGTTATTAGTTCATCACAGCCAACAACTAACCAAAAGACCTACATCTTCAGAGTTAGCTTCTGAATACCTTTTTGAAATTTAAGCACTCATCCAAGACTTGATGGAGCACAGGTTGAATTGATTTCCTCACAACATCTTTATTATAATGAAGAATCTGGTCCAGATGTTCAACAACAGTTTGCTGGCCCCCTGTTCACAAAAGAAGAACATTAAAAATTCTCACCAAAGACAACACTTTTGAAGAGGCCAAAGTTTTATTATCATTATGCAAATGGAAATCCAAATAGCAAACAGTTGGACATAATAGTTGAAAAACCAAGGCCAGAGTTTCACCAACAATAGCATCTATGTTTTCTTAAAGTTTCAAATGTACAGAACATAATTAACTTCACTGCAGTGATAAGAAGGAAAGTAAGAGCAAAAGCCAGTTTTGTCACCTTAATTATTTGTGTCCTTTTTTTTATAATGTGTCAATGATATAAATACACATGATACTAAAAGCTCATAGATCAGGCTTCATGAAAATACCTATTACATCCAACAGCTCGAAGTGAAAGTCATCCCAGTATTGAATGAAAAGGAAAAGAAGAAGCATCTGTTCTTGGGCTCCACCAGATTCAAACCAGTCATCTTTCAGGATTGATTGAAGTTTGTAACTGATGTCTGGGCAGGCTAATCCTGTGATAAATACAAATATATACAGTGTAACTGGCTTTTAAAAGTTGTTGTTTGATATCTTTCCCCTGTCTAGCAGGTGTTTACTTTCACGGAGGTACAGTACCAATGAAGTCACTAGTCCTTCAGTATCACTGAAGTGGCCATTTTCTTGCATGATCTTGTGACTATCAATGCAAATTTAACCATACAGTGTATTGCATTTGAGCTGGACCCAATCCTCACCAAGCAGACACACACAACATAAACTATTACACTGTGATTCAGAGTGGGAAACCAAGATGAATGTTCCTTCCATTGATCAAGGTTACTGAGACTTCTATCCTATGGCTTAACACCACACATTTGGAAAGTTTGTCCACTGAGCCATCGGCAAAACTTTTAGCTCAGACTTTACCTGCAACAGTGCACAAATAAGTTAAATAGAGTAAGTAAACAAACAAACAATCAGAACAGGACCAGAAGTAAAACAGCTCAGAATTGAATTGAAAGCACATGTTTATGACTGGACTTTGCAGCCCTCTTGTGGTGTAATGGTAAACTCCCAACCCCACTGGACCAGAAGGTCCAGGTTCAAATCCACCCCCTCCAGAGGAATGTAATAACATCTCTGAATAGGTTAAATAAAACTTTTGTCACCCCTTTCCCAAGACTAGCCAAAATGAAGAAGAAGCATCCATGAAAGTGTGAACCATTTTGAGTGTCCCTGACAGGGCCAGATAGAGGCCACATGCAAACATCGGAAGGAGCTTGCGCCTGTTGAAGGAGTGGGGATAGCGGTCGAACACTGACTGTGGGAGCAGTCAGCGGTCAGACCATGTGGAGGCCTCCTGCATTGATCTGCTGCGGACAGCCTTTGGAGAGAGACAGTGATGTTGTCTTTTTAACATGGCTTTTTGTTTTTTCTATGATGTATGGTCACAATGTATAGCTATAATGTAACTGCTTTTTTCTTATTTCTCTATTCTTTAACTAAGGATTGTACCTAAGTACCTTTGTACCTAAGGTGGCACTTTAGCTCTGATTTTTCTTCACAGATGCTGCCAGACCTGCTGAGCTTTTCCAGCAACTTCTGTTTTTGTTCCTGATTTACAGCGTCTACAGTTCTTTCAGTTTTTATGTGGTGCTGTAAGTGGCGACTTATAAACTTTTCACTGTACTCATGTGGCAATAAAGCTAGTTCAATTCAAATCCAAATATCAATCCAACCTACTCATCAAACACATCCTTCTCCACTTGTGGCAGGATTTTACAGATCCAGCATTAGACTATTTAGTTACTTCAGGATCTACAATTTCAGAATAGAAGGAAGTTATACTAAATCATACTAAGGAAGCTAAGAAAACAGGTGTACTTCTGTAGTGATTGCAATGAGAGCCAGGTGGATCCTTGGGCTGTAAACCTGGGCCAATCAGGGAGCCCTGGCTGACAGATATAAACTGGAGATACAGAAAGTCTCCTCACTCTAGGGACTGGCTCTGAGTTGACTGCTCAGAGTCCATGTACTGTGCACATATAAATAAAGTGTGATTTGGTGACAGGACACTGGCTCTGTGCAGTCATTTCAACTTCATTTATCAATACAGCTGTTTTGCTGTCACTATTGACTGCATATTAAGTTGCATCATAGGTAGACAAGGTGGTTAAGAAGGCGTTTAGCATGCTTGCTCTCATTGTTCAGACCATTGAGGTTAGGAATTGGGGCATCATGTTGAGATTGTACAAGTCATCAGTGAGGCCATTTTTGGAGTATTGTGTACAGTTCTGATCACCCTGCTATAGGAAGGATATCATTAAATTAGAGAGGGTTTAGAAGAGATTTACCAGGATGTTGGGTTTGTAAAATCATGAGGAGCTTAGATAAGCTGAGTAGCAAAGGTCTTTTCCCTAGGGTTTGGGAGTTCAAAACTAGAGGACATATTTTTAAGGTGAGAGGAGAAACATTTAAAAGGGACCTGAGGGGCAATTTTTGCACATAGAGGATGGTTTGAATGTGGAATGAACTGCAGGAGGAAGTGGTAGATGCAAGTACAGTTATAACATTTAAAAGACATTTGGATAGGTATATGAATAGGAAAGGTTTAGAGGGATATGGGCCAAATGCAGACAAGTGGGATTAGTTTTAGTCTGGGAAACTTGGTCGGCATGGACAAGTTGGACCAAGGGTTCTGCTTCCATGCTATATGATTCTATGACTTGAATTAAGAAATGAGCTCAGCGGGCCCTCTTGTGATACAGTGGTAATATCCCTATCCCTGGACTGAGAAGCCTGGGTTCAAGTCTCACCTGTTCTCCAGATGTGTAATAACAACTTTGAACAGGTAGAGTAGAAAATAGATTAAATTAAAAAATTCAATTAAAAAATTTAAGAAGTGGGTGATTTGGTGGTGGGGATAAAAAGCCATTTGGTTGTGAGTGATAACAGTTCTAGATATTAAAAAAAATTAAGAGGTAGGCTTGCTACAAAGGTGTGCTATAACACACCTGAACAGATTAAACATATTTACACTTTTGCATGATTCTAGGAGTACTAGTGGTCTAGTGGTAGTGTACCTGTTTCTGAGCCAGGAGGTCCAGGGTCAAGTCCCACCTCCTCCAGAGCTGCATAATAACATCTTTGAACAGGTTGATTATAAAATATCAATATGTAGGCTCAGAAGGAAAATGTCAGCATTGTTAGTGGCTGGCCTTTCTGTTCCAGTGGTCACTGGTGGTGGAGGAGGAAATCAGATGAATATCATGGACAGGCCCAAGAACCACACCTAGTCTAGTAAGTGGCCCAGAACAAGTTTCAAAAAGTGAAAGGGTTTTCAATTTGAACCCCTGATGGGAGTTGATCCCAAATTCCTGAGGAACATGTGGGACGGCACGGTACCTCAGTGGTTAGCACTGTTGTCTCACAGCACCAGGGACCTGGGTTCGACTCCCTTGGGTGACTGTCTGTGTGGAGTTTGCACATTCTCCCTGTGCCTGCGTGGGTTTCCTCTGGGTCCTCCGGTTTCCTCCCACAGTCCAAAGGTGTACAGGTTAGGTGGCTTGGCCATGTTAAATTTCCCATAGTATCTAGGGTTTCACAGACTAAGTGGGGGAAATGTAAGGTGGGTCTGGGTCTGGGTCTGGGTGGGATGCTCTTCAGAGGGTCAGTGTGGACTCGATGGGCTGAATGGCCTGCTTCCACACTGTGGGGATTCTATGAAAAAGCACAACTGGCAAAGTTGAATGCAAAAAAACAAAGCAGCAGTCTCTCCAAGAAGGACCAACATTCTTAATGATTTAACACCTGTTCTTGAGGATGGCATCCATGTGGTACATTGTATTTCAAATTGCGTATTTTGAATAAAATTCAAGATGCAAAAAAAAAGAGGTAGGCTCTTCGTTCGATGAGGAAGTTGGCTACAGCGGTGATAGCTTCTGGGCAGGGAAAAGATCCAGAAAGGAAAGATAGAAATTGATGCTTGCGCTAAACTATGCATTAACAATAAAACTTTGTACATCTCTGGAAGTCTTTTGCTACCTAATTCAAGATATGGATATCAGTCTTTAAAACACTTTCCACATCCACCTTATCAAGTTACCTCTCGCTCTTCTGATCTCCAGTGGAAATAAGCCCAGCACGTCCAATCAATCTTCATAAAACAACCCACTTATTTTAAAATCAATCACGCAAACCTCCTCTGAACCACCTCCAATGTATTTACATTCACCCTTAAAGAAAGTGGCCAAAACTATACACAGTATTTGAAACAATCAAGAAAGACCCTTATAAAGAAGGGTAAATAAAGACAAAGTGTTAACTCTGTTTTCTCTTCACAAATGCTGCCATAACGGCTTTCTCCAACAATTTCGTTTTTTTGTTTCTTTCAGATATCCAGTATTGACAACTCTTTGTATTTGATATGAAGTCTCACCTTTGTCCTGTACTGCTGTCCTTACTTTTACGTTCAAGTCTTCTGGCAATAAAGGATACCATTCCTTTAGCTTTTTTGTGCCGTACCTGCATACTAACTTGTTGTTGCTCATGCATTAGAATACTTAAATTCCTCAGCAGAGGACTGCATACAGATATAAGTGGGAGTGTTACAGGTTCTGTTCACTCTGAGAGCTGGCTCTGAGGGAGCTGGATCAGTGTCAAGGATTTTCCACATGTAAATAAAGGGTGACTTGGTGATGGGATATCGTCAATTGGAGAGTTATTTCAGTGGTGCCAAAACTACGCTCCTGAAGAAATTCACTCGCAACAGTCATCTTTGTGTTAGGGTAAGCATTTCTGGCATCAAGCCATTATTTGGGAAGCTTGACTTGTTCAATCCTGCCGTCGAAGACTGGGCCCAGTATGTGGAAAGAATACTTTTTCTTCTGGGCAAATGACTTTGGAGCAGATGAAAAGCAATGAGTAATTCTCCTGACAGCTTACGGACTTCCAGCTTTTTCAGTTATTTTGGAGGCACCAAAATCTTTCAACAGTTGATGGATTTAGATAAAGAACACTACGACCCCAAGCCTCCTCTAATTCTGAGACACTATTGTTTTTACTCAGCAATTTGACAATCAGGGGAATCTGTATCAGGATATTTGATGAGATTAAAACGACTGGCAGAGGGCATGTGACTTTGGTTTAATCCTTAATGAGGTGCTGAGAGACCATTCGAATATAGGACTAATGATGTTACTATGCAAAAGCACCTATAGCTGATGGCTAAAGGGACTTCAAACGGGCACTACATCTGGCTTTATCATTGGAAAATGCAGCAAGTGGAGTATATGAGTTCCAGGGTATTCAGATGGAAGTGGACACACTCGCCAGTCTGACTGAGCTTGGGGAACACCACTTGAGCGAAGCTAATTGCATAGCCTCACTCAGGACATATCCTGAACAGAAGGTCGCTAGGTCAGGCAACAGCAAAACCCCAAAACATAGCCAAGCCTTGGCCTAATGGCTGACGTTTTCTTCGGGATCTGGGCTGGAAAGCCATTATTGTTGCTGTTGGTATGTGGACTCAGCAAAAGACTGCGAAAAGAGTCCCACTAGACCTATGGAGACAGTAAGGACCACAGATGCTGGAAGCCAGAGTTGATAGGTGTGAACAAAAACAGAGGTTGCTGGAAAAGCTCAGCAGGTCTGGCAGCAGCTGTGAAGTAAAAATCAGAGTTAATATTTCAGGTCTGGTGACCCTGCCTCAGAACCTTCTCAGCTCACAAGGCAAAATATCAGGTGTTGTTGGGAGCTTACAGCCCAGTGGCCTCAATATTGGCTTCATCAGCTTCAAAACCCCTCCACCTCCAGCCTTATCGTATGTCCAGCCGTCTCCCCCCATCTCCTTGACCTGACCTAACCTGTCCGTCTTCCTATTCACCTATCCACTCCACCCTTCCCACTGACCAATCACAATAACCCCCTACCTGCATCCACCTATCACCATCCCACCTACCCTTCCCCGAGCCCCACCCCCTCCCTCTATTTACTTCTGGGCTCCCCTCCCCCTCCCCAGTCCTGACAAAGGGTTTTGGCCCAAAACGTTGCCTTTCCTACTCCTCGGATGCTGTCTGACCTGCTGTGCTTTTCCAGCTTCACACCTATCCCCACTAGGCCTATATTGAGTAAGGGACCTCATAGGCCGGTATCCAGGAGAGTGTGCATCCTGGAAAGTCTACCTGCATCTGGTTTGGAACAGTTAAATTGCTTAGCAACATCCAAATCAGAATCAATCTAAATAAGTGTCTGGTTAAATCACCACCCACTTCTAATGAGGTCGATAACGACTTGGCCGTTTCAGTGATCACAAAACATTGGGGAAGCACGGGGCCTCAGTGGTTAGCATTGTCGCCTCTCAGCACCAGGGACCCAGGTTCAATCCCGGCCTCAGGCGACGGTCTGTGTGGAGTTTGCACATTCTCCCCGTGTCTGCATGAGTTCCCTTCAGGTGCTCTAGTTTCCTCCCACAATCCAAAGATGTGCAGGTTAGGTGGGTTAGCCATGGGAAACACAGGGTTGTAGGGATAGAGCGGGGAGTTAGGTCTGTGTGGATTGCTCTTCGGAGTATTGGTGTGGTCTTGATGAGCCAAATGGCCTGCTTCCACAGTAGGGATTCTATGAACCAGTCTTCAACAAAATTCGCTCTGGACTCCAACCCTTAAAATTGTGCAAGACCTCAGCTAGACAGAGAACTTCTACAGACAAGGTTCTGGTCTCTTATGAGAAGCAGCTGGTTCATGTACCAGTGATTAGAGTAAAAGGCTTGTGCCCAAGCTTGATGGGGCGAAGTTGGTTGAGAAAGATTCACCTTGATTGGCTCAACAATTTTTGATTAGAAAAAGGTTGCCTAAGTGACATCCTAATTAAATATTCAGAAATATTTCAGGAAGGTCTAGGAACTACCAAAGGAGCCAAGGCCACCTTACATATTGACCAGCAAGCAATTCCATGAGTCTGCAAGGCCTGCCCAGGGCCATTTGCCTTAGAGGCAAAAGTAGAGTGGAAATCAGAAGGCTGGAAAGCGAAGGAATCATCAAACCAATCCAGTTTGCGGAATGGGCAGCCTGTTGTGAAGCCTGATAGGTCAGTTCACCTTTGTGGGGATTTTGAACAAATGGTAAACCACTTTTCACAACTGGATCAATATCCAATCCCTCACATAGAGGATTTTTACACAAAGCTGGGAGGAGGACTTTCCTTCATGAAGCTGGACATGAGCCATGTGTACTTGCAGATGCAGTTAGATGAAGATTCCCAGAAGTTTGCTACAATTAATACCAATGAGGGCTTGTACCAATATACAAGACTGCGATTTGGAGTATTGTCAGCCTGTGCCATTTTTCAGTGGACAATGGAGAACATTTTACAAAGTCTACCCCAGTTTGCCATTTATCTACATGATGTGCTAATAACAGGGAAGACCAATAAGGAGCGCTTTGAGAACTTGGACATAGTCCTTAGACATTTCTGCCCAGATGGGCATATAACTTAGAATGGAAAAATATGTATTCCAGGCACTCCATTGACCTACTTTAGCTACAGATTCGACAAGGCTGGGTTACACTGTTTGGAAGATGAGGGCGATCAAAGTGCCCCGGCTCCCATGTCCATACTGGAGCTTAAGTCTTTCCCTGGGCTGGTGAACTATTACAGAAAGTTCATACATAACCAGGTCTCCATCCTGGCACCTTTGCAGCAACTCTTAAAAAAGGGTCAGCTTTGGAAATGGTCATGTAGCCAATTCATAGATTGCAGAGAAGTGAAGAAACAACTATCGTCCTCTGAGGTACACTATGATCCCAAGTGAAATCTGATATTGACATGCAAAGCCCCCTCGTATGGCATTGGGATAATATTAGCCCATGGGTGGTCCAATGGAGAGGAACACCCAATAGTGTATGCATCTAGGACTTTGGCTAATGGACAGTGTAATTACGCCCAGATAGGAAAGGAAGGTTTGCCAGTCATATTTGGAGTCGGGAAGTTCCACAAATAGCATTATGGATGTAAATTTGTAATAATAATGGAACACAATCCCCTGCTAGGTCTGCTTAAAGAGGTCAAGGCCATGCTACCCATAGCTTTAGGTTGAATTCAGCGGTGGGCTCTCATAATAAGTGTGCTGTCACAATCAGAATTAAAATCTTTTTGGATGAGGAGAAACGAGATCACAGTAAAGAATGGCATTTCATTGTAGGGAGAAAAAGTAATTGTCCTGAGCAAAGATTGCCACCAGGTACTGGCTGAACTTCACCAGAGTCATCCAGGGGTTTCCAAATTGAAGACGTTGGTGAGCAGTTACGGCTGGTGGCCAGGACTGGATGCAGACATAGCTGCATTGGGGGGCAGAGCCCAGAGTGCCAATAAGGACAAAAATTACCACCAGCAGCTCTCCCACATTCATGGGAATGGCCAGGTGAAGCCTGATTATGAAAGTCCTTTCATGGGTTCAATGTGCTTACTCATTGTGGACTCCCACTCAAAGTGGCTGGCATAGAATTCATTCGTCAAACACGGGAATGATGATAAAAAAAACTGCACGCATCTTTTGCAATAAATAGATCCCAGATGTGTTGGTCACAGATAATGAGCAATTGTTTACCAGCAGGGAGTTTGAGTATTCCCTAAAATTGAACGGCATTCATCATATAAGGATAGCTCCATACCATTCACCATCCAATGGTCTGGCAGAAAGAGTAGTCCAAACCTTGAAGACGGCTTAAAGAAACAACCTACAGCTTCACTAGATACCAAACTGTCCCAGTTCCTACTTGATTATAGGACCATGCTTCATGCAACTACAGGGATAGCTCCAGCAGAGTTAGTAATGGGAAGAAGACTCCACAGGTTAAATCTGACCTTCCTGGACGTGGGGGGAGGGTGAAACGGCATCAGGAAAGCCAGTGCTGAACACAAGACTCCACTAAGCAAGAGAAACAGTTTACTTCAGGGGACTAAGTTTGGTATAGGAACCATGGAAATGGCCCTGCATATGTAAGAAGCATGGTCGATGCAAGGTCAGGTTCAGTGATGTATAAAGTTCAGGTGAGTGGAACAGTCCTGAATAAGCATGTGGACCACATAAAGCTGCAAACTCACAAATGGTGCGGGAGTAAAATATGCCCGGCTCTTTGACTGTCTTTCCAACTGTTCCAGAACATGTGGATTCTCTCTCTCTGTCAAGCATTGAAGGTACCTCAGAATCTAAGATGGACACAGAGGACGTCGCTGCCTTGATCCTTCGTCTTCTTAAGAGGAGGAATATTTCTTCAGAGATACTCCGGGCGCAAGGGACGAACTACTGTGTGTTACACGCCACCTGTATCAGAGGCATAGTTGAAGGAATCTGACCCAGTGCTAAAACATCCCAGGCGAAGCCTCAAAAAAAAATGAACTAGCCTATAGCTTCAGACTCAGAGCGGAAGGGGTGTAGTGATTGTAACAAGGTCAGCCAGATGAATTTCATAGAGTATGAGTTTTCTGATTGGGGCTGTTATTCTGGTCCAATTAGGGACCCCTGGCTGACAGATATAAACAGGAGTGTCAA